CGCGGGGAAAGCTCGGTCGTAGCCATGTGCACGTGAGTGTAGCAGTTGGAGCGGTACAGAAGGGTGCAAGCCACTAAAAAACCAAGTAAGCTTTTTCTTCTCGTCTCTCGGTAACGTGGACGAACAGGTGTTGGGCGAATCACGTTTTCTTTCATATGGGCTAATCGCGCTGCGGATCAAAGCGACACCGAAAGAGCCACTGGTCACTCACAGAAGCCCTTACCGAGCTAGAGCAACCGCACCCGCTGCCGGGCAATGGACGACTGGAAAAAGCGGACCGGGAATGGGACCTGGCTGCGACGAAAGCTGCAGCGGTATGCACCATCAAGAGGTGTGTCCCTTTGTTCGGAGTTGTACCAGCGCTTTTCTTGTGCTGCAGAATGGGTCTCGACTTCATCTAGGCGCGAGAAATGACGCTTTCCTCGGCGATCATATGGCGAAGCTCCATCATACTGCAGGCCCCACCATGCGTGTACGGTCGACCGACGCGGTGGCGGTTCCGGGACAGACAGGCTGCTCGAGGCTCATTGTCCAAAGAGGCGTGAGAGACACATGCGCCACAAACAATGCGAGTGAACGGTGAGCGACAGAGACAGCTTCCTTTGTTGCGAGCAGTCCCATTGTCGGCGACTCGCCATTCCCGATCGCAGTTTGCTCTCAACACGCACCTCGACGTCGTCTAGCAACGGAACACCGAAAAAAAGCCCCGGTATGTGTCTCAGTGTAACTTCCGACGTGGTGGTGATGAAGAGCAAGCAGACACACGTCGGAAACGGCATCGGAACCCCATCTGACACCTCCTCGTCCCAACCATGCTCTGCTTCGTTCCTACCGAGAAACGCATGGGCCGCGCGATGCACCCATCCACGGCCCTGCCTTTCAGCAGCGATTCTAGCCGCCGTGGCAAAGCGCGAGCTCGTGACCAGAATGACACCATTCCATGCGCCGAGGCACAATGGCCACCTCAGCCCACACACGTCAAAGAGCAAATAGCTCAATTCAGCTGATCATTGTCACGCTCCCGCCTGCCCATTGTCGAGCAAGAAACCCAGATTGATTCCTCATTGCATGGCGTGAAAGTCTGAAACTTCTGCAAGCTGCGATGCACACAAAGGGCATCGCGTGCGCGGTACGCGCTCACTTGGTCTTCTGCCGCTTGGCCGCCGTCTGCGCCTTCATGCCCTGGATGCGGTAGATCTCCTTCATCTCGGCCTTGCGCTTCTGCGCCCTCACCTCCTCGTCCCTCTGCGCAAGCTTCATCTTCTCGCCCTTCTTCTCGGTATTCTTGCGCTTGCGTTTCTCGTCCTTCTCGCGCTGCACCGTCTTCATCTGCTGCAGCAGCGCAAGCGCCTTCTTCTCGTCGCCCTCGAGCACCACGGCGCGCTTGGCGAGGTACGACGTCGCGCGCGCGCGCGCCATCTGCTTGGGCTTCGACTTGAACGGCAGCTCGGCCTGCAGCGCGCGCGGCACGCGCAGCGGGTTGAACTTGCGCTCCGTGCGCTCCACGCCGCGGTAGCTCGAGTTGATGTGGTTGGGCGCCTTGAGCGCGCGCTCCTTGCGCACGGCGCCCGTGAGCCGCATCCCCTGCCACGCGCGCGCCGCCGGCGAGAGCAGCAGCGACGTGACCGGATTGTAGAACTTGCGCGGCTGGATCGTGTACCACGCGCGCAGGAATACGATGTCCGACATGAGGATCTTGTCTTCAAACGTCGCCCTGAACTGGCCCTCCGGCTTGGCGAGCGCCTTCTTGACCTGTCCCCGGATGCCCGAAACCGTCTTGATGTGCGCGCCCTCGAACTTGGCCACCTCGAGCGCGGACGAAAACATGTCCTTGATAAACGCCGTGTTCTTGTAGATCTTCGCCGGCGTGCCCGTGAGCTTGAGCTTCTTGACAATCTTCTGCGCGCCCGAGTCCACGTCCAACACCACGCCCGTCGCCGACACCCGGAACGACGGCGTCGCCGTCGACAGCGTATTGAACGCACAGAAGCCCGTATTGGGCGCCGAGACGGGCCCGTAGAACGACGCGAGGCAGTGCATGTGCTCCGGCGTGTACTTGAGCATGCGGTTGCGCGTGCCGTCGTCGAGCGAGTAGATGGGGATCGACTGGAACCGGCGCCACCCGAGCGAGAAGATGAGCGGGTCGTTGGTCTTCAAGATCTTCTGGTGCCATCGGTGCCGCTTGATGCGCACCTGGATGAAGCCGAACGACTCCTCGCTCGCCAGCAGGCCGCCGACGAGCAGCGGGTACGCCGCGTCGAAGTTCTCCACAAGCTCGTACGCGACCTTGCTCAGCTCGATGCGCACGTACGCACCGGGCGCATAGCCGACCACCTGGTGGCGGATCTCGTCGTCGACCGTGGCGAACTCGGCTTTGTTCAAAGCGGCCTGCGCGGCCAGCAGGTCCTTCTGCTCGTCGTACCAGTCCTGCTTGGTGTCGGCTTCCGGATCGTCGTACTGCTCGTCGAAGCGGCGTTTGAGCGCTTCTTTCTTGGCGGCGAGCGTTTTGGCGCGCGCTTCTTCTGTATCTTCGTCGTCGTCGTTGCCGTTGTCGCTCGGGGCAGCGGAGTCGGCTGCTTCGGAGCCAGCGTCTTCGTTGTCGCCGTCGGCAACCTCGCCACGCTTGCCGTCCTTGCGCTCTTCCAGATTCTCCGGCTCATCGCCGGTAATGAAGAAGCGCCGGATGGAGTCCAGCACGCGCTCCTCGGCCCAGTGTCCCAGCTCGCCAGCTTTGCCAACGGGGCGCGCCTGGTCGGGTACATCCTGATACTCGTCCTCCGGCACAGCGCTCTTGGACGACGCCGGCTTGCCGTCAGCGGGGCGGAAGAAGAAGTCGTCTTCGTCCTCGGCGGCCATCTTGCGGATGTCGGCTTCTTCGTCGTCGTCGCTGGAGTGCACGTCGCCAGAGGCGATCTGCTCGGGCGTCTTGTCCGAGTGGTAGATGAGACGCGCGAGGTCGATGGGTTTGCGGTGCTTGTTGGCGAGCACTGTGGCTTCTGCTCGCGCGGCGAGGTTGTGTTTCCAGGGTGCGATTTCGTCGGCGTCGTCGTCTTCCTCCTCGTCAGAGCCGAGACCCATGTCAGAGTCGCTGTCGGCGAATGGAATGTCTTTGGATGCAGCGCCGTCCGCTTCGTCTGCTTCAATGGCTTTGCGGGTGAACGCACGACGCCCCGTACCGTCGTCGTTGTCATCGTCGTCGCCATCTTCGAAGCCACCATCGCTTTCGTCGTCGTCGTCCTGGTCGTCATCGATGTCGACGTCCAGAAGCACGTCGTCGAACGCAGCTCTGCGCACACGCTTGCCCTTGGCAGGCGCACTGTGTTCGAATGCATCGTCTCCGTCATTGAGCTCGTCAGCAGCGACATCGCCGGTGCGCAAACCGGTCGAGTCCGAGTCGAACAGGCGCAGCTCGCTCTGCGCGGCAAGGTTGTCGAGCGTGGTGTGTGCGTCCTGCAGATCCATGACCATCTTCTCGCCCTCTCCCGCTGGCTCTGCGCCCTCGCCCTGACGGGTAAAGTTGCCGGGTACATTGATGTAGACTGCGTCTTTGTCAAACATGACGCCACCGACGTCGCTCATGGGCGCGTGAATGAGCTTGGCCTTGTCCGAAAGCTTCCTGCGCTTCTCGCTGTCCTGCGTGGGGAGCGGGCACGGGTCGTTGAGCTTCTCGATCGACGTGATGGACAGATCGCCTGCACCGGGGATGTGCACCCTCTGCGATGCGCGCAGGTGCGTGCCGTGGAGGTAGCCGTAGACGGTGATGGTTCGGTCGCCCTTGGGGTTGGCGCGGATCTCTTCGCGTGGGGTGAGGTCTTCCATGCGGTCTGCAAGCACGTACGGGTGTGCGTTGCGGAAGATGAGCGGGCGGAACTTGATCACGCCGATGAAGCGCGAGAGGTTCTGGATCTCCGTGTCCGGGTATCGACCGTTGATGATGCCGGAGAGGTAGAAGAGCTTGGCGCCGTCGTAGATCTCGGTCCAGAAGCGCTGTTTGAGGCGCTTCTTGGTGGCTTTGAGCGTCTTGGCCTTCTTGATGAGGTCGAGGTGGGTGAGCACACCGATGACTTTGGGGAAGCCGTGCGATTGCAGCACATTCAAGAACTCCATGGTCTCCATCTCGAACCCGAACGAGCCGTCGATCATGAGCAGCACCAGATCGGCCACTTTGCCAATGTCGATCATGCTGTTGATGTCGTTGTTGCACTCGATGAACGTCACCCTCCTCTTCTTGCCCGTCACCACGGTCACGGGCCCCTTGATCTCGGCGAGCGTATGCTTGGTGTATCTGCGGATCAACGAACGCATGAGCGTCGTCTTGCCCACGCCCTCGGGCCCGACGACAGCGACGATGATGGGGGGCGGCTCGTCCTCGGGCGTCCTGTCGGCGAGGGGGACGTGGAAGCGCTTCTGGTCCTTTTCGGCGTTGCGCAGGATCTGCTTTTGGGCGACATTGATGTTGGCAGAGATGAAGGCTTTTGGGTTGAAGCCGTTGGTGTGTTTGGTTTTGGTCTTTTCCGCCTTGCCACCGGCCTTGGCCTTGCGGTGCGCCTTGTTGGCCTGTTGCGCGTCCGCCATGGTGACGAAGCGTGCGTGGGGCGAGCTAGAGCGTCCCAGTCCAGGCTACGCGCTGAGCCAGGGTGGCGCCGATTGTTGGGGTGGCTGGCGAGGAGCGATGCCTCTCTTTGCGTCCTTCGGAGGGCTCCCGCTTTGGTCGGGTCGTAAATGTGATGGAATGTGATAGCTGCTGGCGACCGGAGCAGTGTGGGAATGATCACAGTGGCAGTGGCAGCAGAGAAGCAAGTCGAGCTGCTCAGCAACAGCTTCGGAGCAACCGAAAGAAGGGTCTTGCTCAACTTTTTTTTTTCGTTCGCAGACGTTCAACCTCGAACTTGTCAAAAAAATTTCATGGCTGCTCCACTCTGCGAAGCTTTCTTCGCCCGCACTTTAGTCTGTATTATGTAAGCAGTGCTGAGACGGAACAAAAAAGAAAGAAACAAAGTTGCTCCTTACCTGGGTCGAACAGGTGACCTCCCGATTGGCGCGCAGACAACAGCCCGCTACACCCACTGCAACAGTGGCAACTGAATTCTTCAGTCGGACGCTCGTACCAACTGAGCTAAAGAAGCGGCTTCCCTGTTAGTGGGAAACGTTGCGTATATACACCGTGCGATGCAGTTCGAAGAGCTTCTCACATGTCCCAAGGTGATAGTCGACATGTTTCTCGCCGAAAGTAGCTGATTCACCGCTACAGCTCAAGCTACTCCAAGTCCATGGCGAGTGCGTTGCAAGTGCAGGTCTCGAGTCGATCGAAAGGTTGGTGGCAGAGGACAGAAAGTGGCCTGATATTTCGACGCGGCGTTCGAGGAATTTTTCATGTCCTTTTTCCGATGGAAATCAGGCGGCAAATGGCAGCTTGCCAAAAGTTGGCTGATCAGATGCAGGGTTCTGATCAGCGTGTGCTCGAAAGTTAGAGCTGTCGTCGGAAGGCAAGCCGACACAGGCAGTGCAGCCAGGGCAGGCAGGGCAGGCAGCAGACGGCTCTCCACACCAAAATCGTACGATGCGGCCACTCTACGCCATGCCACTGCCACTGCTGCTGCTGCTGCTGCTGCTGCTTTGCAGCTTGACCAGACCAGGCCATCCTCTAGCAAATCGGCTTCTTTTGCCCTTCCACCTCCTCCGCCTTGAGCTTGCGACTTCACGCTCGACTGTCCATCCACAGATACCCATTCCAGCTCATCGGCACATCCGACCGTCGCTTTCGGCACAGCGCCCTTGTTTTGCTGCGCTTGCACAGCCTTCCCAACGCAGTCTTTTGACGCTTCCGACTGCGTCTAGCTGGCAGCGATCCGTCACAGTCATCATCGCAAACGCTCTGCAGTGACAAATTCCATCCACTCGCCCCGTTCCAGCTCTTGTTCAAGCTGCCAACTACCTTTCCGACTACATCAGATCCCTTATCACAACCGTCATCCAGCCATCACTTGCTAAGCCCACTGGCTTGACGTGCTGCCATGTACTCGACGCCAATCCACAACGGCGGGCCCAACGTCTCGCCGCCTCAGCACCAGTATCAACAGCAGCAGCAGCAGCAGCAACAATATCAACAGCATGCTCACCGTTCCCGACAGCAGGAATCGCTCGAGGGGCAGCTCCAACACTTGCAGCAGCAGCAGCAGCAGCAGCAGCAAGCACAGCTCGAAGCTATGCGCATCCTCCAGCAACAGCACATGCTGCCCAACATTGTCGCTCCAAAGCAGGAGGACCTCGCTCTCGCTCACAACCAGCCTTCGGGTCCGTGGTCCAGCGAAGACTACGACTCCATGATGCGCACCATCCTCGATGCCACTCTGCCCTCCGATCACTTCTCCGACCTCGAGGCTCCTGCATCCCTCGCATCCTTCTCTGCTTCGTACGCCGGATCCTTCGTCTCGGGCTCCAGCGACAGCGGCGCCAGCCCCAACGCCATCAACGACCTCGTCTACGGCGCTGCCAGCTTCCCCACACCGCCCGACTCGGACATCGGCTCCTCGGCTCGCAACTTTTCCTTTTCGCTCGCCCCCAACAATGGTGCAGCCATCAGCCCGGATGGAAGCTTCGACCTCTCCAATGCCTCCTATGCACACTCGTATTCTGGCTCGGATACCACTTCGCCCTACGCTCACAACTTCAACCTTCAGGCTTCATCGTCTACCTCGCCCTTCGGTCTGCAGTCTGCTCAGCTCCCACCCGCCTCGCTGCCTGCCAACGGTCCCTCTCCCTCTGCCTCGGCGTCTCAACAGTGGAACGCCAACTTCCTCGCCCCCAACGCCGCTGGACTGCAGCCCTCCCCTGCATCGCACGTGACCCCTCCGCAATCCACCGAACCTGCACCATCGGTCGTCGTTGGTCCATCCAACACCGCGAACGGCGCTGGTCGCAAGAGACGTGCTGCAGATGCCAAGGCGGAGCCAAAGAAAGCTGCCGCCTCCGCTGCTCCAAAGACAGAGCCTGCTGACGACACTCGCAAGACAAAGAAGGTCAAGCCCACCGTCTTGTCCACGCCATCGGTTGAGCTCAAGCCAGCCTCGTCCAGCAGCGCCGCACCTATCACCAGCCTCAGCAGCAAGCTACCCCACATGGAAGTCGGCAGTAACGCCACCGCTCTCGCCGCCATCGAGAGGCTCAAAGCAAAGCGACTCCAGGAATCCCAAGCCGCTGCACAGGCCGCCCGCGAGGCACAGGCAACACAAGGCACGTCACTGCCATCCGCCCTGCCAACCACCACCGACAAGGCACACCTCGATCCAGCCACTCGACAGCAGAAAAAGGTCGCCCATAACGCCATCGAGAGGAGGTATCGCAACAACATCAACGACCGCATCGCCGCCCTTCGCCGTGCTGTCCCAGCCCTCCGTGAGATTCGTCCTCGCACGACGCCGTCCGGCCGCAGAAGTCGAAAAGCACAGCAGGAAGAGGACCTCGTCGATGGTGTTCCCGCCGCTACCAAACTCAACAAAGCCACCATCCTCGGCAAAGCAAGCGACTACATCAAGTATCTCAAATCGCGCGAGTTGCGCTTGACCAGCGAAGTCGCGGGCCTTCGCGAACTCGTTCGCAGTCTCGAGGGAGGTGAGGAGCTCCTCGAGCTCTGGGAGGCGGAGATGGACAAGGTGGTGGCCGAGCAAGAAGCTCTCGTCGCCGCCGCGGCTGCCAGGGAGGAAGAAGAGGCAGAGCAAGAGCACGCTGCTGGCAATGCTGGCGCGGACGACGACGACGACGATGACGATGACGAAGAGGCTGACGACGACGATGATGAGGCCGACACCGCCGAGAGCTCCTACGCCAGCGCTTCATCGTCGTCGCCTCCATCCGCACGAAGCCGCACCGGATCCAAAGCTGGAAGAGGTCGTCGATCGGGCATTGGTGGTGCTCTTTCGTCGGTTGCCTCGTCTCGATACATGCTCGCCACCTTCTTGGGCATCAGCTTCATCGGCTCCGGCACCGAGTTTGCCCTCGATGCGACCGCGTCGGACGCAAGCCAAGCCGTGGCTCGACCTGCTACCGGCAAGGTCATGGTTGGCGCCGGCCGCCAGTTGCTCAAGCGTTCCGCCACCTACATGGCGCCTGCCACCTCTCTTGCCCAGGACTCACACGTGTACGATGACGTCCCCACGCACGCACTCGCTTTTGAAGTGTTGCGCATCGTCTCGTTTGCCTTTTGCTTCCTCTTCCTCGTCTGGCCGCTGTTCGCTCGTCTCTTTGCATCGCGCTCGACGTCTTTGGCTGGACGCATCAGCGACGCCGACGAAGAGGCAGACGAAAATCAGAGCAGCCACACGCGCAAGTTGCGTCAGGCCTTGTCCAAGGGCGAGATCGACGTTGCTGCCTACAACAAGGCTGTGCGCGGTCGAGTCGCAGCTCCCACGTCCGCGGTCTTGGCCGTGCCCTCGGTGGCTCTGGCTGCATCGCGTCTTGCTCTCAGCCGCATGTCGCGCGTCAACAAGCTTCTCCCCGCTCAGAGCATCGCTGTCGAGGACGCAGCAGCTCTGGCTCGCCTCCTCGAAGTCGAGACGTTGTGCGAAGGCAAGTCGCAGAGGTCCTGGTTGCTTCGACTTGACACTGCCCTTCGCCTCGCAAACAGCAAGCATGTGCGTGGCGGACGCGATGTCACTGCTACCCGCGATCCTATCGTGGCCACACCCCGACTCAAAGCTACACTGGCGCTGTCCCTTGCCCGCCTCGGCGAAGGTGTTGACGCAGTGCAGGACCTCGCTGACCAGCTTCGGACGGATGCGCGGTCGAGCCTGCGTGATTCTGCCGCTGGCAAGACTTCGTTGAGCAGCGAGGCTGATGCCGCTTCACCGTCCGCGTCTGACAAGGATGAGAGCCTCGTCGAGTCGCAAGATGCCTCTTGGCTGTCTCGTGTGCTCTCGCTCGACCTCGACACTGCCTTGGACCTGCTTGCGTCGGCTTCGTCGTCAGCCGATCCACGCAACTGTGACTTTTCTGCGGTGCTCGCCATCGCAGACGTTTATTATACTGCGCGTCTCACCGCTGTGTGGAACCGTCTTTTGGCGAGTTTGGTTCACGCTTCGTGTCCCTCTTCGGCGGGGGCGAGTCCCAGCTCGCTCGTCAGGGAGTTTGTCTCGCTGCAGGCCAGGCAGAGGCTGGATCTTGACATTGTTGGGGATGCTGACAAGCGCAAAGAGCTGCACGCAGAGATCACGACGCTTGCGCGCACCGCTCCTCCGACAGCCCGTGCCTGGCAGATGGCCCAGGTGACGCTCGCCACGTGGTCTGCGGTGCTCGGCAATGTTGCGTTGGCACGACACGTTGCGTCGATCCTGCGCGAGCATCCGCTTTCTGTGGAGGGCAATGTCAAGCTCGCCAGCGTTGACGCTCTGCACTCGTTTGTCGCTATGGACAGCTCGCTCGACTCGTCCTTGGTTACTGGGGCAGCCCACGACGAGCTGGACGCCAAAGCCAACCTGTTCCTCGGCTGGCTGCGTTTCCTGCGCACCTACGCCGACGCCCGCACCGACATCAAGACGCTGCACGCTGCCACGCTGCACGTTCGAAAACTCGTCGCTGCCGTCACCACGCCGGCCGTGGCCGTCGCGGTGCTGCACAGCGCAGAGGAGGATGCCAGCGACGACGAGGTGGAAGCGAGCCTCGATCTGGTGACTGATCTGTGCACTGCCCTGGGACGAAGGATCAACCGGCTGCCGCACTCGACGGCGTCGGCTGGGTCTGCCGCGAAGCTGATCGGCGACGCTGCGGACGACGATAGGGATTCGGGGATCGAGGTGTGAGCTGCCGCACACTTACGGACTTTGTAGCTTTGCTTTTTCAGGATCCCACGCTGTTTTGTAAAGGACCGCCCGCACACTGCTCAATCCAGCACTTCCACGCACGACCTCGTCCTGAGCGAGTGATTTGATTGATCAGTCTGAGCTGGAGACAGTCTCCCGTGTGCGTGTACGAGCTGAGAAAGCCTTCTAAGATTGATGAAAAGAGAATGCGTTGGAAACCGAGAAGACGAATGAAGAGCAAGGCCAAACGAGTGTATATGGGTGGGAGGGGCCAGTCGATGGGGGGAGTGGATGCATGTGTAGTGAGCGTGCGGAAGGATGGAAATGGGAGT